ATCAACAAATGATAGCTGAACGCCATGCTTATGACACACACTTCTTAACATTTTACTTAGTGACTGTTAGAGGCCCCAGTCAGTATTGTTTCTGACAATGAAGACTCTGGCTAATCTGATGAGTCTTAAATGGAGATCAGTTAAGGGAACTTCTGCTGCAATTGGTAGATACAGTCAGAAGAAAAACAGAAGTCATGATCCCATGACAGTGTGTGTGTGTGTGTGCGTGTGTGTGAGTGAGGGGACAGGGGTTTAGGGGAGAGAAGGAAAGTAGAGGGGAAAGGAGAGAGTGTATTGTGATTAATTATGAATATTGAAACTTATTTTTTAAAATCTCCTTCGTCCTCCAGAATCCTGATGCAGGATTAAATATCTGTGTACACAGCAGGGGAAAGAGAGAGTGGGATGAATCGGGAAAGCAGCCTTGACATGTATACACTACCGTGTGTAAAATAGCTAGTGGGGAGCTGCTATACAGGACAGGGAGCTCAGCCCAGTGCGCTGTGATGGAGGAGTGGGATGTGGGGATGCAAGGGAGGCTCAGGAAGGAGGGGATATATGCATACTTATAGCTGATTCACATTGTTCTACAGCAGAAACTAACACAACATTTTAAAGCAATTGTCTTTCAATTAAAGAAAATCTGTGTTCAGGAATCAAGGAAGAAAGTAAAAATCAAAATACTCTAATAAGAGACCATTGGCCATGTACATCATGTAATCCAAGGGGAGCTAAAATCTAGATATGACTGAAGTGAGATGGATGCCACATCGGGGACCAAGAGCCACACTAGTGAAGGCAGTGATGAGTGTATGGGGTTAATCGGGCCCTGTTGTCAGATTCTGCCTGGCTCTCCTGCCATCTCTGCAATGATTCCTCTTTCTGATTCCCACTCAAGTGATAGTTACTTGTGGTTATAGGAATGCATGTTATTATCCAGAAGACAATGGCTCCATTTTTATTAGCATTGTCTTTGTCTAGGTTTCCCCACTGACATTTAAGAAATCTGATTTCTAAACTTTCTATTACGCCAAGCAAACTGATTGTGAATCATTTATTTTTAGAGATATGAATTCACATTTATGGAGTTTAACTGCCTCTCTCCATGGGCATTTATTATGTTTCTTTTATGTATGTATTTATGAGAAAATAGAATAATATTTGCTATCAATTCCTATAACAGCTTTCTTCATTTCAGAATGATTCCTATGATATTCCACTCATGTGAAATTAAATAAAGATGAAAATATCAAATATAATTTTTGTATCTACATGGTCAGTCAGATGGGTTTCTGTCCATTTTTCTTTGTATTTTTTATATATAATTCACATACCATAAAATTCATAGTTTTAAAGTGTGTGATTCAGTGGTATATAGTATATTCACAAAGCCATGCAACCATCACCACTTTCTAACTCCAAAATGTTTTTGTCACTCCCAGAAGGAACCCCATGATTCTTTAATATAATATTTTTAATGGCCAATTTCTCAAAAACTGTAAGTTCAACAGAGTGATGTGTCAAAATGTCATATTATCTATGAACTATTTAAGCGTCTTATGCTCCATACAATGCCACATTTTAGTGATGAGATAGTCACTTGGATTTGGAAAATACCATTCTTATTTATAATGTACACACTGGTTCCTTCCATTTGGAGTCAGATGGAACTGGAAGGTTATAGATGAAATCCGTGTAGCAGTGCTTTTATCAACATTCAGTTCAGTTCAGTTCAGTCACTCAGTCGTGTCCGACTTGTTGTGACCCCGTGAACCGCAGCACACCAGGCCTCCCTGTCTGTCCATGACCAACTCCCGGAGTCCACCCAAACTCATGTCCATTGAGTCGGTGATGTCATCCAACTATCTCATCCTCTGTCACCCCTTCTCCTCCTGCCCTCAATCTTTCCCAGCATCAGGGTCTTTTCAAATGAGTCAGCTCTTTGCATCAGGTGACCAAAGTATTAGAGTTTCAGCTTCAACATCAGTCCTTCCAATGAGCACTCAGGACTGATTTCCTTTAGGATGGACTGGTTGGACCTCCTTGAAGTCCAAGGGACTCTCAAGAGTCTTCTCCAACACCA